CCTCGCACGTTGAAGAAACGAAAGATGCATACCCTGATAGTTTGGAGGTTGTTGCACGTTTGGTTCACGTATAACTATTACAGTAATACGATTCATTAATATATACTGATAGAATGAAGAGATGCAGGATCTCAGGCCTCTCGCATTGCACTGTAGTGTCGACGCATGTCGGACCTCGTTGCGGAAGAAGAAAATTGGTCGAGCCATGGTTGCTACTGGAGACTTTCAAATACTGGACTTAGAGCACCAAGTACTTGTAGTGCACTCTGAGTGAGTGGAGACTTCAGACTGCTGCACAGCTTTCGCATGGCATCCAGCAGTGTTCGGAACATTTTGATGACTTCTGTGTCCTCCTCAGGCAGCTTGTCAGCGCTGGCTGGAGGGATGTGATTGTAGATGTGCGCTTGGAATTTGCAGGTGACTGTGATTTCGGCATTGAAGGCCAAACTGATTCCTCTGCAACATTGCTGTTCGTTGGTTTGTTGACCGCGCTGGCCGCCTTTGGTCTGGGAGGCAAGGACGGTGGGAGAGAAGGGTGGTGGAGTGGCGCTGTCAATGCGGCGTCTGCGGCATTCTTTAATGAACTGCGGCGACGGTGAAGCCGCTTTTGGACGGTCCTGGCAGCCTCTCGATGCGACGAATTGTCTCTCACCATTTGTGTCAATACCGCTATTTCTCTTTGAATTTCGGGGCAATGTTTTGACGAAGCTGCATGTGACCCGTGACAATTCGAGCATTTGAGGGTAGTTGTTTCGCAGTCATCCGCAGAATGGGCTTCTGCGCAACGAGGACACACCGTCTTATTTTCGCATACGCTTCTCACGTGGCCGAGCTTCATGCACTTCTGACACTGTAAGGGTTTGTGTACAAAAGGTCACAAAGAATGCCGAAAATGGTCCACCTTTACGTGTGAAGGAAGAGAGTCGCCTTTGAACATGATCTTCAAGCAGTGCGAGTTTCCAAAACGGACAGCTTTTGCGATTACGCTGGCTTCATCTGCCGGTTTGACCAGAACATTGAAGTCGGAGCTGGGAATGGCAGTATCCACATGGTAGATGACGTTAGAGCAACGTTAGAGCTCACAGGAATATAGGAGCGAACTTTCATTTCCCCCAGCTCGTGGACATTGCGCAGTATATTAAGTGCCACAGCATGTAAAACGTCGATGGCTAATAAGTTTTTACGCGTGTTCACTCTGATCTCTGTGATCTCGGTTGGCACGAGTCCTTCCAGCATCACCGGAACAGATTGCCTGTTGAGGCGCTTCATGTTACCGTCAGGTACCTCAGGGACAAAAAGGATAGTGTTTTTCATGAGTCTCCTTGTCACTCTGTCGTTCAACGTGCTCGATCACGAAGATATTTTGACGTTCCACCTCTTCGCTTTACGGCTCAGCACTAGCCTAAAGTCGTCGTCGTCGGAAGGCTCTTCGCTGCTCATTGCGTATACAAGAGTGCCCTTGCTGTCATAGTCGCTGTAGAGTATCGTACGCTTGCTGGATGTAGCCACCGCTGACGCCGCCGTATCTGGCGGACGTCCGTGGAGGTCGACGCCCATCCCCGTCGGACACGGATGTGATATTCGCGAAGTTCACTTATAATTAGGTGGAAAAAGAGAACACCTACTGAAACAGCGATCTGCTGAGCAATCACTTCGTCGTCCCTGGTTTATTGTGATCCACAAAAAAAGTTGCGGCTGGAATGTGGCACTTCATCAGATGGTTTATGGGCAGTATTATCGCATCGTATTGACCATTTTGTTTGATACCAATTTGTTTGAGAAAGCTGACGTCAGCAGAACGCAGTCATTCCCACATACAAAAAGAAGCGCTGGCCTTGTTGTTTGGAATTTGCGAATTCCACGATTTCTTGCTTAGAAAATGTTACACACTGGGGACAGATCATAAAACATTCACCGCGCTTTTTCACTTCAAGAAGCTCGTCCTGGGGAAGGCGGCAGCTTGAATTCAGCGTTGGGCGCTGAATTCGAGCTGCGTAAAGAAAACGCAATGGTAGCGCAAAAGTCCTCAATCGCTTGCCAGGGTACCATCAACGTGGAAGTCGAGAAGAGACCGAAAAGGCACTGTATACGCACCGTGTAACGCAAGTGCACCTAGGTTTAACCAAATGATTGCTTTGACTCGGAAGAATGGCATACTCCGGCAAATCCGGGAATGGATCGAGCAGGGCTGGCCATCACATCATCTTAAAGGGCAGCAGCAACATATCTGCAACCGTAATTCTCCCGCCGACATGAACTCGTCGTGAGGCATTGCCTCGTTTACTGGGGTCATTGTGTGGTCGTGTCAGAAGTAGCCCGGCAGTGCCTACTCAACAAGCTGCCCGACACGCACCCAGTTGTTGGGGCCATGAAAAGACTCAATCGTGTGCTGTTATGGTACGCTGAAGTAGAAAAAATACACTGTAATGTTGGTGCAAAAATATTATCAATGTTTGCAAGGGTGGTTCATGCCTGCAGCACAAGTAATATCAACATGACCTAAGACGGGAAGTGGTGGTTTTGAATTCACAAGGATATTGAAGGTTTTGTTTACAGGTACCTAATTTTTGTCCTAACTTACGTGAAAACAAAGTGGAAAGGTGCAACACCACTGAAAGCAGCTACCACAGACACAACTATTACCTTCCTTAGGGTGAAGCTTGCTCATTTTGGTATCCTACATTGTGTGGTTTCAGACAACGGCCCAAGTTTTCGAGCGCAACATCGGCCAAGTTCATGCACGAAAATGGCATGCGCCATGTGAGGATGGTGCCGTACCACCCACCAATCAGATAGACTAGTGAAGCGAGCAGTGTGAATATTAAAAAAGGGCCTCAAGGAAAACAAGCGTTGCACACTGCAAGAAAATTGTTTCGCTTTCTGTTTCGGTACAAATCTATGTCTTTCGAGTGGCCAATCACAAGCCCAACTGCTGCTGGGATACGAGCCACGGACAACGTTGTACACTCACTTTCAAGCAGGGGAATTCCCTGCAGAGGCCGATGCTATCCGAGGACAACCTTCGTCACCCAAAACGCCATGACGTTTTCCCCCGGAAAGATCATCTGGTCCCGCCAATATCAACAAGGGCTAAAATGGTTTCAAGGGATGGCAATACCAACGAAAGGACACGAGATTGTGAAGGTACAGACCCCTCTGACAACTCAGCGCTGATATGTCGATCAGCTGGGGTTATGAGTGTGACATCAACGACGCTGAAAAAGAACACATTGAGGACCAGCGCCAGTTTAGCGTGAACTCAGCCGGATACAGACTCTCGAGAAGTACAGCATCGTTGAACTCCAGGGTAGTGACCACTCAGTCTCCATATGGACGCGAGAAACCTGGGTGCTGGAAGCTGTTTCATCTCTACTTCTCCGTTCAATGCGAGCAAGACGCCCGCTGGAAGGATTAGGCTTTTGAAGTGGGGAGTGATGCTCTGTCATCGCTAAATCGCTATCACCTGTACGTTTCCTTATTACTTGTTAGCAAGCCCCGATGTACTCGGCCAAACTCTAGTCGGGACTCACGTGATTGTAAAAGGCATGTGCCAAGCAATAAACAGTTCATTTCGTGTTGCTACGACGTGGCATCACTTCAGCTGCTGTTATAACACCAAGTGGTCTCTTCGAAATCAAAGTTATGGCCTTTCATATGGATAGGCACCTGTGAATTTACAATTCGATATGAATACAGTATTGGCAGGCTTGAAGGGGCCGACAAATGTCTCGTGTACATTGACGACGACGTGGTCGTCTTTCTCTTAAGTTTCTACAAGCCGCTCCAGCACCTTCAAGGTGTACTTAAAGCAATTAGGGCCTTCATAATAACCCTGAAGCCATAAATGTACCCTCTTGCGTTTGAGGAGCTCATGCTTTAGGGCCACGAGATTATCATATCTGGAGTTCACCACGACCCAATACAAACAGCCTCCCTCACTGCCTTCCCGCCAACCACTGACGAGAAGGCCGAACGCTGACTTCCCGGTTTGTGCACTTATTACAGACGCTTCATCCAGGGATTTTCACAGATCACCCAGCCCCTAGCTCACTTGGTGAAAACTGACGTGGAAATAAATTTTAAGAGTGAAATAAAGTTGGAAATAGCATGATCACTTCAAGAACTTTAAGATCTTCGAAACTTGTGCACATCGACGAATACGCCAACACGAAAATATTATCGCCGACGCAAGCGACGTAGCTCGGAGCCATCTTTGTGCGGAGCTAACGGAACAGAAAGGATTATTAGTTACGCCAGCTGGTCACTATCCAAGCCCGAAGCCAACTATTCCACATCAAAAAGGAGTGCCCCTACATTATCTAGGCTGCATCAAAGTTGCACCTCTACGTTCACGGCAAGTCTTTCAAAGTTGTGAGCAACCAACACATCTTGTGTTGAATAGTTAACACGCTCGAGGACGCGACAGGTCGCTAGTCACATCTTAATGTGTAACTTTGATGATCACTTCTGTTGGAAGTTTTGCACCCATCAGTGTCTTTTTTGTGCTTCGCCTGAGAAACTTTTCGCGCAAAAAGAGCGTGCTTTATCAACTTGTGTAACCCATATCTAGTTTGATCAGAGCGCCGATTCATTGCGAAGTCATTACATCATATTTGTACTTAATAAACATGCCCGGGATCAGTTGCCTCACGCGGCGTACACTGGGAATCCAGCACTCCCGTTGGTCTTTGAAGCCCGACCATGATGAACAACTAAAATATTTTGTTGCGGTTTTGTAGTTTTGAAATATATTAGCGCAGTTTGGGGCACAGCCGCTTTTACCCGAAATAGCAAGGCATTGCCTCCCGTCACCTGGCATGGCTTCATTGAAGACAATGTTGCTGCACGGAGTACGTGAGCCGATCACACTCGCAGTGGCACTGCACTAACACTAACTCAATGTGCGTTTTGTGTATTCTAAAAAAAACTTGTAAATCTTCGTTCGTGCAAGTGATATATTCTACAGAACATTACTAATGTGTTAAAACACACGTACTTACCCCTTGTTTGTCCCCAGCCAGTCGCAAGACACTTTCCGTGTAGAAGTGAATCGGTGTCGTTTTCTGGCAGGCAGATAGGCCTCATTTTGTCGGTGAAATTTACCGGTACATCAAGCTTGATCAGGGCGATATCGTAGTCGTGCATGATGACACGGTGGTTCTGCGCATAAACGGTTTTCGTTAGAAATGGCTTTTCAACTAAAGCTCTACCGTAGGCGCGATTCGTTCGCAACTGATATTCTGTACAAGGTACGTTCAACTCTCTCTGCACAGCCCATTGGGTGCGGCTATGTCAATTATGAGTATTAGCAGCAGAGCTGTGTAGGTTAACCACAAATCAGTGCGCAGTGAAAAGAAAGCAATCTCCATAATGAGGCATTCTACTCTTCGTCTTCCCCGTCTATCCGAAAACACGTGCGCCGATGTGTCTCCTGTAGCTCATTGGTCCTCTTCCCTCCTCTTTCTATGGTTGCTTCGTGCTAATGAGGCAACCACAGTATTGGTGCCAATACAAGTACGATCCAAATGGCAGAACAGCAAGTTCTTTGCAATCAGTTCTTCTACATTAAAAATGCATGAGCAAACTCAAACTTCATGAGAATCAAGCGTATGTCGATAATAGCGTACGTTATAATGAATTCATTTCTCGTTAATGAGTGTTCAAGGTCTTCCTCATTGAAAGCCTCATCACTGCGCTCATCGTGAATCGCACGACTTGCTTGAACTGTTTGAACTTTTGACGTCTTTGTGATGTGGCCTTCATGACCTTCATGCTTTCCCCACGGGGCCAAGTGACACGTAATATCCAGCTAAACGGCATTTCAAACCGACACGCAATGTCCACGAAACAAACGTTCAAAGAAGCTGACTTTCCAACTAGAACAGTAGAGCCTGTAAAACACTATTCTTAGTTTATTCATTTCATTTTATAGTAACAATGTTCTCATCTGCAAATAATTGCACGAGTATAACTGAATGTCCCTATAATACGGCAGAATGGGCCTTCAGAATATAAATGAATAAAAAAACGCGAACGAATACCGAACGAAAGGAGGTTTTGAGACGCTGACTACACGTTTTGTCTGGCGTTCCTGGTAAACCAGATTTTTCCAAAAAGATAAAGTATTGAATGAAACCGCATTTCCATCGACCCTCACCGTGCAAGTGATACGCAATTATAATTGCGCATCAGATAGACGGTGAGCGTTGTCATACTATAAATGTTGCTTAGAGAGGTATACCTCGGAAAAAAAATCACAGCATACCCACAGAAAGAATGACGATCAGTGGGGCAAAACGTCTGTCCGTGAGTTTGTCTACCCATTCCGTCCACCCATTTCGTCCACCCATTCATCCGTGCTTCTATCAGTTCGTTCATTCGAGCTTCCGTCCTTTCGTCCATCAATCCGCCCGTTCACCCGTGCTTCAGCCCGTCCATCCCGGCGTGTGTCTGTTCTTTTTTTTAAAGGCGATAGTCTTTCTCGGGGATCTTTGACGGAAAAATTTCGGTCTGTCTACCTGTGTGTCTACATTTGTCTATTTGTCCGCCCTAACGATACCCCAAACAGCACTAAACAGCCAACCCCATCAGCAGCGCCCACCAATATTGCTCAAGGTTTAGCGTACATAGTCAATTAAAAAACAATTATTGCGCATATCTGAGGCACCACAACACTGCTTCAATGTTTTCTATGTCTGCCTTTATACTAGAAGAGGCACACACAAGTAACTTTAAGGAATGTAGCTTTTATCCGCACGGCACTGACAGTGCAACGCAATGCTCAAAAAGGTGTTTCCAACGCTTTGCTACGACGTCACGGTGGTGGCACCTGCCCGTCGCTTTGCCTTCTGCACCTTATCACCTCCGAGACTGGCGCTCAGCTTTCTCCGCAGGCTGGACGCCTTCGTTTTCGAAGATAACTGCCAGATGGCACTTGTGTCTAACGTGCCTAGATGCGCTCGTTCGCCTCCGCGACACGCTCGAGGCACTCTAACGCAGCGCCTGCAGAATACCATTCACCGATTTTCTTGCGCAGAACATCAAATAAACGTTTTGTTAAATCTCTTCAGACGCAAGACTATCGTCTTTCGACGAAATTTACAGTGTAACGTGTAGATTTGGGCTGATTTTCATATATACATTATTACTGTTGTGTCTGTTTCGAGACATAATAGTAGTGGGTACATGTTTTAATACAAAATAGAACAACAAAAAGAATCGCTAAGAATATAGAAGCAAGGCGAAGAACTCATATGCTTACATAGCTTTACAACAATATCTCTCATCAGATACGAGTGCAGATGTTCATAGGAACACAGAAAAAGAACAACCACTAAGATAATGCAAAAACAGCTTAAAAGTAGATGGAGCGATGTAGTATCTCAAGGAACTCTTCGCAAGTCAATGGCTGAAGCGGACCATTAAAATTGTTCCACATTCAAACAGTGAATGAAAAAAAAATGAAAAATTCGAAACAGTCAACGTGTGTTCTAAAAGGATTAATGTCTAGTCTACAGGTTCGCCAGGTGACACATGTATTAGTGGATACAAAAGAAGTGCCTGAATACCGAATGGCACGTGGACGATCTTGCACAGCAAAATTACGCACCCATGTTTTCGCATATGCTCCAAAGGTTGCAGCGATAGATGTGGACATGTGAAGAAGGGGACAAGCTGTGATTATAGCTACCGAAGTTGAAAGTGCCCCACGTGAGGTGAGGAGACTACACAGTTTGAGCGTATGCAAGTATCCGATGAACAAGTGCTTTGTAGGCAGTCAGCTTACTTCTACCGTTGCATTTTTTAAAGTTCGTTTTATGTAACCAAGTTTTCGAAGCGCTTTTGCAGAGATATGATTAAAATGGGCAAGGCAATTTAGGTTATGTGAAACAATGACACCCAGATATTGGAAGTGTTACTTTGGACTAGTATAGCATTCATATTGTAAGAGTACTTCAGCGGCTTGTTTTTATTACCAAAAGTCAGGGTGACTGTCATGGTAAAAACAATTTTCATTTGCCACATAGTACTCCAATCGCAGAACATTGAAAATACCTTGCTCAATTATCATTCGTGTTGAGCGTCAGAAACAGTGTGGTAAAAGACACCGTCATCTTGATATAGGCGCAATTTACCTTTGGATGTAATAATAACACTTACTACATCAATAATGAAAATAACAAATAACACAAGTCCCGGAACTGAACGCTAAGGCACTTCAGATGGCACTGTTGCAGACGAAGAATGCGTGCTAATAAAAGTTACGAATTGACATCATTTGTGTAAATAGTCAGTGATCCACTTTATTACTTTGCACCCTTGTTCGAAGTTCACATAGAAGCGTTTCAAGACAGACTATGTCAAAATCTTTCGAGTAATTTATGAAAATGGCATCTAGCTGATTAAGACTATCTGATTGATTGATATGTAGGGTTTAATGTACCAAAACCACCATATGATTATGAGAAACGCCAAAGTGGAGGGATCCGGAAATTTCAACCACCTTGGGTTCTTCGCACCCAAATCTGAGCACATGGGCCTACAACATTTCCGCCTCCATCGGAAATGCAGCCGCCGCAGCCGGGATGTACATTTCACAAGTTTAGACACCTGACGCGACTCTACGGTTGTACCACGTTTTATTCTACTTTTGTGACTCTATTTCGTTCATTTTTTAGATGATTTTTAAAATATTTTTATAGTTTCATTATTGTTTGACTCATATTATTTATTCAGATTATTTAGGACTAGGTGGTAAGAATATTAACCTTATATTTATTTTAATCTATTTAGCAGCTGCATAGTGTTTAGTTTGCGTGTTTTTTGGCCGCATTAAACATCCAGGTACACTGCCCCTCTTTGAACATTCATCGCTCCTGGGATGACACATGAAGACGTTTCCAATGGTCGCTAACTCCAGTACACCGTCATCATTGGTGTAACCAACACGTTTGAGAACGCTATGTTGCACTGCTATCTGCACCACGCGATAATGTCCCATGTACACCTGCTTTGTGCCGAGAAGGCCTTTTCTAACAAGCACCAGATCCTTCAGTTGTATCTTAGGTGTCCGCATATTGTGGCGGTGGTCAAAGTTTCTCTTCATACTTTCCCGGTATCGCTGGTAGGCTTCCGAAGTTTTTTTTTGTTTTTCGCACAATTGCAAGTGGTCTGCAGTGCACTGTTCTTGATCAGCAGGAAGCACAGGTACCTTTGCAAAAGCTGAAAAGTATGGGCTACAGCCGATGATCGCAGTATGCGACCGATTGTGATGAGCAGCAGCTGCCTTCAAGCAGCACTTCCATCTACCCTGAAAACCTCGATACATTGAAATGAACTGCTACAAATCCCGAATGATTCTTTCAGCCTCGCCATTTCCTGCAGGATGGTACGGAGCCCAGCGTCGCAATACAACTCCTCATTCCTTCACCGTCTCTTGCAAACGCAGACTGAGAAACGCTGCTCGATTATCAGATACTACTATTTTCGTATTCTTGATCATCTCTCGGCTCAAAAGAGTGATCACACTATTTGCATCTTCCCTTCCCAGCCGTGCAGCCACTACTCTTGTGCAGTGGTCTATTACCACTTGGAGAGACTGCGTTCTTCTTGCTCCTGCAGCCTTCTTCTTGAGTTCTGAGAAATCCAGATGGATGACTTCAAGTGGTACATCGGAATAGCTAGGCAAAACCATCTCATCTGTTCTCTGATGGTACTTGGCTTTGTGAACTTGACATTGATGACCAGACTGAGCATACCGTTAAACGTCCTCTTTCGTGTGTTCTTCGAAAAGCTGTCATGTCCACCGGAGTGTGGGGAGTCGTGATAGAGTTCTAAAATTTGAGGCACTATTGTTTCTGGGACTGCGAACTTCGTTCTGGAACTTAAGTTTTTCAGTTCTTTCCCACAACAATGTTGCGTTGATATTTTTCTGATCAGGAATTACCGCAAGTCTTGAAAGCGCATCTGCGTCCTTGAGGTGTTCTACAGGCCTGTGGTGGACCATGAAAGTAAACTGCTAGAGTTCATTCACCTACCTAGCAATTTTTCCTCGAGGTTCAGCAAGGTAAAGGACATACGTTAAGGCTTAGTGATCTGTAAAGAGCGTGAAGCTCCTGCCATGTAGGTAATATCTAAAATAGCGTACGGCCATTAAGACT